TCTTAAAAGATAATTAAAAAAAAAAAGCTTTGCTCAGTCTTCATAAACATGGATTGGGTCCAGCCTACACATTCCAGACATTTCTTTTTTCCTTCAAAATATATTTGTATATTTTGAAGAAACGTACATATGTAACTATATTTCTTTTTTCAAATTTCTAGTCAATTATATAATTATAATATCCTACAGTATTATCAATAATATGACAACAGTATAACTAATATTTCATACAAATAATTAACTATGGTGTTATTATTTTTATATATATTTATATCAATCTTTTCTACATTTGTAGAATGAAATGGATAAGGCCTAAGAAATAGTCTGGCTTCCTAAATAAACCATAGATCCTTTATAAATAGATTTTTAAAACAAACTTCAAAACCCCTGATTAAATTAGTGAAGAAGCTAAGACTCTTGACACTACAATCATCTTAGTTTTTCAGCAGCCTTGCTCTGTGTCTGTAGCAGACGCTCAGTACCTATGCACTCAGAATAACTGTGAGCTTAGATTTAAGCTAAATACATTATTTCTGTACCAACACAGAAAAACTCAGCCTCTTCATTTCCTACATGGCCATTTCAAAATGGATTTCAGAGTCTGCCTGGTTCTTGACCAACTTTCCAGGCTTGTACCTTCTTTGAACAGTCTGACAAGCTCTCCTCGTTCCTGCTCCACCAAGAACACTTTCTTAGGCTTAATAAAGGTACAAAGTTCCCCAAGCTTACTTTGATGGAGGATGAATGAAGTACTTATTTCCAGATAAAAGGAGGATGGCCCACAGTACTTTAGCTGTTCTGAATTTTTACACTGATCAATGCATGCTGGAGTCCACAATATTCACAATATACGCGAGGCAGAGGCAATAGCTCCTTGGAGCCCTTTTCACCACAAAAGTGATGCATTTTCTTGTGAGATCTTCAAAATCTTTTAAAAATGGAGTGGTAGTTCCCCTTTCAGTCTGTAGTATGCATTTCTACAGAAGGATAGTTCTCATTCTTATTCGGCCTCTATGTCCTCCAAGACCAGGACGCTGAAGTGTCATTCACAGGTGCTCTTTCCACCTATGCGATGTACAATATGGGAGGGGGTGTTTTCTTTCACCGTTTGAAATTCATGCGTATTTCCACTCTTAAAATGGTGCAGTTGACAAAATACACAAAAACCACAGGGCATTTATAATGAAGGAATTCAGTTGGGGAATACATGAAACAATGGGTTTGCATTAGGCAAAAAAGATACAGAGCAAACTAGTCACTATTATGCTGCTCTCTGTGTCACCGTATTCCCCATGATTTGTGTATTCAACCTCTCTACTGGAAATAGACTCTTCTTCTGTTTCACTTCTGATTTTGGTTTGCCATTAATTTTCCAGAGTGTTACTAAAGCTCATTTTGTTGCATTTGGAGCACAGGTATCTTTACACTGCCCAGCCAAAGATGTTTGAAAGATAACTATTATTACAATTTTTATAAGGTATAATGTTAACCTTTTCAGAAAGAGGAATTAAAACAAATGGAGTAAGAATGCATTCCATCTACTAACTCCATATAAATTCACGCAGTTTTTTGTTATGCCGAGATACAGTAAGTGCAGGAGATGCCGCAATAGGAGGTCAGTACCAGTGCTCTGACCCACGGATTATACCAACCCACATTTCCCACACCAGGTAACCTAGGAAATGTTATAGTTTCCATCCATTAACAATAGTCTTTAAGCACCCAGGTCCTTAGGCACTCATCTGGAGATTAAAAAAGAAAGCGGAGTTTCGGTCCTCCTCTTTTCTCTTCATTTTTTTCTTTCATCATCACCTCTGCAATGGGAACGAGGCAAGGAAATTGCCACAACAAAAGCCAGATACGACAACCCTCAACTAGTTTGGAAGCATTTTCCACCGGTAGAACACAGAAAGGTTACTGCTGTGGCATTATAATGCAAAAGAAACTATGTAATAAAAATAATTGTCAACAATCTAGAAAGTTAAAGACCTCGTAGTTCAGGATTAATGACCAGCCTTGTGGTTACGCTTGGTTTTAGTTGCTAGTGTCATTGAACTTGTATGCACAGAGCCCTAAATCCATTTGTAATTGTCAATGCTTTCATAGAATCGTAGAATCATTTAGGTCAGAAAAGACCTTTAAGATCATCGAGTCCAACCGTCAACCCAACACCATCATGCCCACTAAACTAGCACCAGTATCAATGTTATGAGAGGTACATGACAGGTAAATGCTTTTGGTCTGAAGCGTTGGGGTCAATTCAAATGGTAAATTCTGTATGTTGCATTCTTGCCCATTTAAGACATGTCACAAAACGCACCTCAGACTGATATTGCTTTTGGTCACTTTAAGGGAACTTCTTCTATGATTTAAATGTAAGAATTTCCCATTACTACCCACTCTTCCAAATTACTAAGCTATCCAGAACAACAAATTTTTGCACCGATTCAGGCACTTCTAGGCACTGATTTGCACTGATTTTTTAAACCTGATTTATGCTTCTTTATATCACATTCTCTAGAAAGACCAAAATACCTCACTAGGAAATCAGTTTTTAAAATTAACCTTCCCAAGAAATTCGGCAATTTGCTTTCCTAATTATCCTTTCTACACCATGTTCTTGTGTTAAATATCATCGCTAACAAGCACTGAGGTATTATGGTTACCAACTGTGAATACAAATATACAACCTGCTTATTTGCACCTTTTTTTTTTTTTTTACGCAGGAAGCACCCCAATCCCAGGGGTGATTTTCCCCAAGTGATACAGGTGTCACACACCGTATGATGTACCCTTCGATGGATTTAAAATAAGTTTGACATTTATAGAAAACAATTTTTAGGCTGGATGAGAATCTTTGAAATACGATATTTAGCAAACACATCATGATTTCTTTCCTAAAGGTGAAACTGCTGCTTATCAGACATGACAAGATGCATAAGTGCTGCTGATCTGAAGTTCCCATTTTTACATACGAAAGCATATTTAAGTAATTACGCACATTTATAGTCACCTAAAAATACTAGCCTGCTATATCAAAATGTTTATGCAAATGTAATAAAAAAGGAAGCTGTACATCTGTAGTTAGAGTTAGTTGGTTTGTAAGAGGAAGAAAAAGCTGAGGAAAAGATACATAAGAATGGATGTCATCATAAAAAAAAAGCCTTCTATAATACAGCTTCAAGTGCAGAGGGTATAATTATGGACTGACTATGATTCTTTGACAACCTATTTCACAGTAGCAGATTTCAGTGGTTTTATAATCACAGATAATGCACAGATTTATAATAATGAGGTGTCAACGTGTGGAAGAAGAGGATTGCAGACCATTATTTTCTCAGACATTTTCATGGCATGTGCCAAGTACAGAGAAATGTGAGCGATGTCTATTAAAGAGGCAGCCTAACTTATTCAAGCACTTTTGGATACACAGGACATAACGCTGGTTCTCAAAAGGTTGGAGCATGGAAATACCGATACATTTTACAAACGGGAACATTAAACACAAAATCTATATGATCGCAGAAAAAGGAAGGAAGAGTGTTCTGTGTTTCAGTCAAATATCAAAAATCTAATTCTAACCTCTGCTCTGTATTCCCCTTTCCTCTGCTGCACAACACTAATACCTGTAAAATCAAGGAGACTTCAAATGCTTCAAAGGCTCTGACCCTACAGCAATCTTGGACACGGGCATAGTGGCTTCTTGGTCCTTATCCTTCAGTACACCTGTGCTTTCATGGCAGAGGCACAAACACTTCCAACCTGATTAGATGGACAATTAGAACCAGATAGACAATTCTACAGCCACATTAATCAGGAAAAATGTGCTCCTGAGATCCCAGAGTGAAGCTCAGTCTGCATGACCTACAAAAGAAGAGTCCACTCTCCTGCAGAACGTAGAACCAGTGATCTTAATCCAAACGAGCACTAATATCCCCGTGTGCTGCTATTAATGAATACAGTGCTTTGTTTCCAGAGGTAGCAATTTTGGGGAATGAAGGTTTCTTCCTATAAAACAGTTATTAAGGAACCGACAATCATTACTGTAAAAGTAGCAATGTGAGATTCAGTTTTATAATTATATTCTGCTTTCTGAAATTACATTTCGATTCTAATTACATACAGAAAGATTACTAGTTTTTGGCTTCAGCCTCTGTACTAATAGTGAATATCAACAGCTGCTGTATAAAAATTACAAATGGGCTATGAGTTAGCAATTCCTATTTATATTTCAGGAAAAAGTTTTGGAATTTGAGGAGGACATTAAAGTGTCCTTTAATCATTCTTCGGTAAAACTTCCTTTTTAATTGAAATCACAGATTTCTTCTAGGTCTATTGAACCAGTTGAATACATGAGCAAATTGCAACCCTGGAGATGAAAATTATCAGGACAGTTGTTAATCACAGTAAATCTTGAGTGTATTAAAATGCTTGAATCTATTGAATCAAAACACTTTTCATCAAGTTTTTTTCTCATCCTTTCTCCTAAACTGCTCTTCCCATCTTGCATGATTAGAATATTCCTTGTGGCCTATTATCAATTCATAGATCCCTTTTGGCAAATTTGATTTGTATCCCCCAGACTATTTTAGGTTTTTATATCAGTCTTTTTCACTAAAAAAATCACGACAAGCAAAAACTGTCTTACTGTTTAGTGCCATATTACCACAAACTCGCTATCGGTGCCCGACAGGTCAATAATCCTATGAATTAGCATCCTCACTTATTTCAGATGCAAATCCATCTTCCTTGTAGATTTGTTATGCAGACATGGTTCATTTAGCAAGTGATAGACAGAATTTTGTTCCTCAGCAGTAAAAGTAACTGCTTCCTAACTTTAAAAAAAGTTTATTGACATCAGAAACAGGCTTAGAATTATCCCCAGAATTCATCCTAGTCTTTCAATGAATTTAAAATCCTCCTTAGTTCCAGTTTGATGCTCTTACAGGACAAACTTTCAAAGATGTTTGAAAAAAAAAAACCCGAGAGAGAAACTGTACCTTGGTGCTTGTCACTTGAAATGGAACTTTTGAGCCCTTTGTAACTAGGGTTGTCAGCTTCTCAGCTGGTTTTGAAGGGATTAGATTCATAGCGGGAGGCTGATTGTGCAGAACGGAAGACAGGCAAAGCTGCACGGTCTCCTTCAGAGCTTTCAGCTGTGACTCCTGGGGAAAATAAGAAATCATCAGTTCTCTAAGATGTGTTATTATGAACAGAATTGCTTGCTTTCGCTCTCCGCATTAAACCAAACATTTATGAACAGCTGCTGCTTTTTCTTATTAACAGAAGAAATGAAGGCTGTTCAAAGCAGTTTTTTTATAGGATTAGGTTACTGTGCATTACACACCAAACTGCCCAGAAAGTCATTGCACTCTTCCCTCCCCTCCGTACAGTTTTATCCACACTGATTATTGCCACTAATTATTAAATATTATTTCATCTGAAAAGAAACAAAAATACAATCTACCAAATATCATACAGCGTCCAGACTTTTACAGGCAACAGTTACAGAGAAGTAAACGTTCACAAGTACTGCAAAGACGCAGACTTTGCATGGAATTTTGTTTATAATGTTCAGGATAATTTATAAAGATTGATTTTAACCCAACAAAGACGACTTCCCTCAGGAACATATTAAGCTGTTGCAGTGTACAGTAAATAAACCATAGGCCTTTTCACCTCTTAAGACTATGATTGTCCAGATCCATTACTGTCCATCAAGCCGAACTAAAACTTTTAAGTGGCAAAGTGCTTGCAACTCATGCTACAACACTGCTATTTTACTCATAGAAATAGAGAGAGATGTATTAATGAAAATAGCAGTCTGTCATTGAAATAAACTGGGACAGTACGAACAGTGAGGCAAGTACAGCACTGAGGAAATCTCATTTTAAAATCTTTGCTCCATCCCAGCAAAACACTTAGAGTCAGATGTTAGATATTGAGGTGACTGCCTTATACTCATTTCAGGGGGAGTTAGGCAGCATTTGGCCTTTAAAAAAAATAATCTTGCTCTTATTCTTTATATTAAGAATATGCCTATAAATATGAGCTACATCAGCACATTTCAACTTTCAAAGATTTTTTTTGAAGATACCTAAATCAAGGTATACCATGGCAAAAGTTGATGGAAAATATATTATAGGTAACATTACACACTACATACTATATATGTGAAACATTACATATACAATATGAAAATATTTCACAGTTATACAAATCCTAAGCAATGGCATTCGACATATACCACCTTGTCTCAGTTTATTTGAAAAACAAGTATTTTTTAGAACCTGACAAATATTCTGTTTTACATCAGGTAAAGTTCCCCTGAACTGGAACCAGGGAATACATCTCATAACTGTAAAAATCTGAGTGTTTCTTTAAAAATAAACAAGCAAAACTAGTTAGTAGGGTACATTTCAATGGTAGGATCAAAGACAACGATAAAAAGACTATTAATGCACAGCACAATAAGGAAAATCAAAGAAATAGGAGATGGACTAGAGTTCGGTTTGTTTGCAAACAGACAAAACGGAATGTCTGTCCCTTAAGATGTGTGCAGTGAGAAGCAATGCTAGATTATCATCAGAGAGGACAGCACTTTGTATGAATTACTTATTAAAATGTATGAACCTGGAGTCAGACTGATATGTCTCTAACCTAATGGCAGTGTAAAAGGGAAAGGATTACTTTATCCATCTGACTCGGAGATCTTTTAATTTCTAATTGGCAACAGAAGATCTTAGCATACTTCTGTTCATGTAATATGTCTTTTCCCCATCTTTTCAAGAAGTGACTGCACAGAGAACATAAATCACCATTTGACATCGTCAGAATAAGCTCAGACACCAACCTGGCGGAGGTAGCAGACTGTCTAATTTTGCCTGAAGATATGGACTCAGCCCTTATAGCACTATATGACCCTAGTGCTCCCTGCAAATCACACTGATTTGAAACCACACTCCTCCTGTCCGGAAAACCCTCCAGATCATTTCTCATCCTCTCATCTCCCACCCCTGCCGCCCAGTCCCTGTTCTGCCTTGGCTACGGCCAGCCATTTTGCTATTCCAAAGGTAAAAGCAGAATAGGTTACTTTGTTTTCATCCTGTGGGTAGCAAAATTCAAGTTTGACTTTGCTGATAGGAGTCGTATAAATGGGTAGCATGAGACTACAACTTAAGGAAACACTATTGGAACCAGGAATGTCATTTGACAAAGCCCTTGATAACCCTGCAGAGATGTGATTGGGATCAAAGCAAGCTGCTTGCTGGTCAAAATGCTGCCAACATATGATCCATGTCTTCAGATTTCCCAGATCTGTCTATACTCTTGTCGTGTGGTTGGATTCAATACAGAATAATTTGGGCTGTGGTAATGCAAAATTTGTCAGTCTTCCAAGGGTCCATCACGGGAACTAGAAAAGTGTTGTAGTGTAGGTAGACTTAATGAGAGACACTAAGACCACTGTCAGCACAAACTAGTATTTAATGGAAATGTCTGATACCTTCCCAAAAGAAAAATACAAATAATGCCTATTTATAGGTACAGTTTGAGATTTGATCACTCAATTATTCATTTTAAATACAGCTCATTCCAAAAAGGCACATTACTTTACACATTGCTTCCATTCCTTTAGCTGAAACTACGCGTGCTAACGTTGCCAAAACAGTCAAGGCCAAAGTCTTCACCGAAGACATGGATGGACCTTGGCCGTCTTTAACTCTTTTCAGTTCATAGTTCATGCAAAAAAGGTTCTTAACGAGGAAAGAAAGGTACCTACAACTTAGTCTTATTACTCCGCAAGTTAGAACTAGTCAAATACAGGTATTTCTGGTCTCCTAAAACTGTCTCGCAATTCTCGCTGGCATGAACTTTGCTTTCTTCCTTCATTTGCACTGCTTTTTTTACTCCTGCTTGCCATTTCCACTGCACTTTCACAGAATGTAAGCAATGACACCATCCAAAGACTCTCTGAATGACGATTTGCAAGAAGATGACACTGGGCTTCTGGTTAAGCCTATGGAACCACAACTGAGCCCTAAATTAAAATTCTATAACATTTAATAGGAAAGAAACAGAGGGTCAGGCAAGACAGTTGGGTGTGCTGCAAATCCCCTTTTAATTTGCAAACAGAATCCCTTAATAGCATTCTCATTAAAAGTTCCTGATGTCAAATGTTCTTTGCTTTCTCCTTCACAACTGTCTGCATTATAATGAATAACTGCACTTAGAAGATATTTACGGTAAGCATTGCTCTCCTGCCATTGCCACAGACAGTATACTGGCACTAGTGAGAGACCGTGTCCGTGAGTGTTGTACGAGCAAAGAAGGAACATGCTTAATTTTTAAATTAATATGTGGAGGAGTTCTGTTCAGTAGTAACAAGAAACACATGATCTATCACCAGACGTACACAGAGGTTTGAATAACGCTACTGCGAGCATTGCTTACGCAGGTGACATTTTGCAATGCTGGATGCAAATCCTCACTCAAGAGGATGATTTCAGTGACTGAAATATTGAAGATAAAGAAAAATGCTTTTAGTGCAAGGGGAATACTTTTTTTTTTTAATGTCTAATGGAACCTGAAAATATTAGAAAACCAACCCCCAAAAGTAGTCTTTGATAGCATATCGAAGTTTTTTCCTTTCTGATAAACTGTTTCCCTATTACACGATATTTTCTTCCCAGCTACCCTAAATCTAGAAGAAAGTTCCCCTGTTGCACAGCTGACGGGCATGAACGTGTCCTGCTTTGTCCCCTTCCTGGGATTCCCCGCAGCCTCCCGGACATGAGTGGGCTCCTCTGCCCACAGAAGAGTTAGCTCCATCACGTCAGTCCCACTCTAACAAGAGACTGACCCCTTTCTATACTGCATCCTCCTTGGAACTATGACTAAACCTCAGATAAAAATCATATTGGTTACAGGCACATTCTCGTTAGTGTACTTTTGCACATAAAGCATTGTAGTATTTGGCTTTCTGTGGGTTTTTGAGATGTTTCTTTCTAATTTGATTGGCCTCCTTTTAAATAACTTTGCAGCTGTACTTAACTTCATGCATCATAATTAGTTCCACTGATTTCAGTAGCATTACTCCCAGGTACATGCAATTAAGTATGCATCTAAATCATTGCAAGACTTTAATTTGTTTTTGTCAAATTACACTGAAACATTCACAGCTGATAGAGATAAACATGCTCACATTACGTTACACTTCTTACTTTGTCAAGGGCTGCCTTTTCCAATTCATCTTTTGCAACTGCTAGTTTTTGCTCCAGATCTGTTAGCTGTTGTGCCTGTGGAAATAAAGAAGAAAAAAGTGATGCAATCTGCAATGCATTTTTTCCCCATAATTTTTCATGCAGTGCCTATGAGAGAGGACAGGATATATATTTTACAAGTAACATATACGAATTGGGTCAGAATTGCTTGCAAAAAGACCAGGCCTCAAGGGATGGGGTTTTTTTCCTGAGAAAAAGTGTATTTTTATGTGGGAACTGGGCTCAGATGTGCTCCATTTATGTGAATGCAAGTTTACTCTAATTTCAACGTCAGTAGCAAAAGTAACTCTAGACTATATTTAGAATTATGCCATAATATCCTTCTGAAAAATTCAAAATATTTAAACAGTTTTTACTATTTTGTTCATTTATTTGACTTCTGCTTGTAATTTGGAACACTATTTTGTAGTTTTAAACGTTAGGATGCTAACATTAATGTGACTTGGCATAAACAGAGAAATTAGAAAACACCCAAACATTCATGCGTGTAGACACCTTACGAAATGCTACTATCTGCCGGTATACAAGGGGTTAAGTCCAGATTTGTTTCTCCATCTCCTTCCCTGGAAATGTGAAAGGAAAACTGACAAAACAGCTAGCTATGCAACCACATAGTGAGAAAGCATTTGGGGAGATTTGTGTTTGAAATCAGGGTCAGGCAAGCAGCCCGCACCCTGTGAGAAAGGGCTGTTGGCTTTTTATATGACATCGCATTCTTTTCCTGCATAGTGCTTCAGGAGGAGATCTGGCTTTTTACAATGTATATGCAGTGTATTGAGTGCAGGGGTTCAGAAGATGCTTTTAAATACTCAGTAAAGGCAGGCAATGATTTTCTCTCCCCTTCCCTAGGAGCCAGACACGCACAAACAGACTGCTCTCTTCAGGGAAATACATCCTCTGCAAGAACCTTCCATTGGAGGTGCTGGAGCTCCCAGATTCCTCCACTTCTCAGCCCTGTCATTAATAGCACGTTACAATGCAACCACAAGGGATAAGGTACAGGGGGTTTTTTACTGTGGAATTTGCAAAACCAGGTCACTAGTTGGTTTCACCGTTTATGAAGGGAACCATAGAGAAAGACACCGGACTAATCAGCTTTCTTTTCTCTCTGAAATACTGATTAGGTAATGCACATTTTGTGCATCAAGAACAATTGGATAAAGTTCTCATTTCTCAGCTAAAAAGCAACACATTTTAATTTTGACCAAGTATTTGCAAGCACCCTTTCCCTCAGCACCACCCCATGCTCACCAGGTTTCGGAAGTTCATCCCCAGCCAGATACTATTTTCTTGCCAGACTTTTCAAGATCACGTGCACTCTGCTGACTGTAGCATAGCCTAATGTATAGCCACACAACATAAATGCTGTTTAGCATAAACCCTACAAAACAAGGTTCACTTGGTCTCTGGGTCGGGGCAATGACCGTACTTCCAGCACATATCGGAGCTGATGCGTATTAGCTTAGGCAAGCCTGTAGACCTCAGCAGATACCTCAAGTGATGTTTATTAGCGTTAGGCATAGGTTATACTGGCTGGTAAAACAACAAAATCCTGGGATTTTTAGTTCCCTGCCCACGTAAAGAACTACTTAGTCGCATTTTAAAACAGGATTAGGCATTTTTATCTGTGGATTCATCAGAGCAGTCAACAGTTTCATGAGTCAAAACCAATCTTGAAGGAATCTTGCTTCAAAGCAGAAGTCAACTGCTTCCTCAGGTGCAGGGAAGTCTCTTGCGAATGCAGTCCCTAATTTCCACTGCATCACGTTTCTTACACCCGATACCAGTCGCTATCACGCACACAGATCAGACCACTGGTTTGGCTCCTCAGTCTGGCAGCAGAGCATCTAATACAGGAAGAATCCTTCCATCTCACTAGAATTTGCAAAATTTAACTAGACTTATCACTGGCTTTTTGGAGAAAAAACTTACTAACATATCAGAATTTTTCTAGAGTTCAGTGACATTTGCATTTGTTACTAACCATGGTACATAATACCACTCACAGTAAACATGGTGCCAGTCAGTGTTTGAAAGACTGAACATTAAGCTTGGCTCGGACGCAGAGACAGTTCTCTTTAGATACTAGAACTAGACCAGGCAATTTCTCACATCGTTATCATTTTAATAATTGCTACTTATTAAACTATTTTTAAAGTAGTTATACAAAGTCATATATTTTCAATTAATGAGAAGCAAGATTTGAAAAACAGTATATATAGTTAAATAATTTGAATTGCCATTAAAAAGGAAATTATACCAAATAACATTTACATGATAAATGAGAGGCCAGGATGGCATCTCGGATGGCGTGCATTGCTAAAGGATTAGAATCACATGCAAGATGATGGATTGCCAGACGGTGCGGGCCAGACAACTAGGCAACTTCTCCATTCAGCACCATCTGTGTTACAATTTTAAGCAGTGGAATACCAGAGCTAAAGTTATGAATTTCAGGGTGTCTGGTTTCCTTCAACACATGCATTATGTAGGCACCTGAAAAGCTGGGTAGTTGATAGAAAGCAAGAAATGGTGGTTAGAGGTGACTGCTGCTTCTTTCCTTGCAGGGGGATGCCTGGTGCTACATAATAGGTTGTACTCGATGAAACCACAGCCATATCAAAAACCAAGTTGGAAGAAAAGTGTTTAATTTCTTTAACTGATGCCTGCCATTATAAAGATTTAATATATTTTAATAACACTGCTCACATCAAGGAAAACGTTTTCTGTTTACGGTGAAAAGGTATTCTTCCAAAGGACAGGCTCGTATGTATTAATAAAGCCTTTCTGAGTGTATCATTAATCGAGCCTTATTCTTATTTTTGGTAATACTGTCTTATTTTGATGGACGAACTTTTTCTGTAACTTTCATGTATATTTATTTTATTTCACCAATAACTGAGCCAATAGGTCAGTGATATCAGTCCAACTGACATGAAGTGAGAATAAAATCCTGGCATTAAAAATGTAGTTTTGATGAAGAGTTTGCTCGTGAGTAGCGATATTTATTTATATCTTAGACACAAAATGGCAGAATAATCAATTTTTTTTCTGAAATTTTTTGTCTCTCAAGGCTGAATTCATATTGCAGTAGTCTCACTGCTGGTTTAATTTATAAGTTCTTTAGGGAGCCTAATTCAATTAATGTGGCTTGGATACCGAATAAAGAAAAAAGGCAAAATACCAGTAGGACTACACAAGACCAATTCTGATAAGGAGTAAAGTGCCTTTAAAAAGCACAGTCTGAAAAAAACTTAAAAATATTAAGTTCCTCTTAGGCATTCTTGCAGAAACAGGTCTTACAGAGGAAACAGTGAGATAATTTTTTCATCCTCTGAAAGAGTGCACCGCGCAATTACTGTCAGGGAAGTACACTTTTCTAACTCTCTTAAATGAATGTGCTTACCTTTACCCATTGTGAATTACATTAGACAAAATGTCCATATTTAAATTCTTCCAGGCATAAATACAAAAAGCAAAAAGCAAAGACTAGTCTGATTTCAGGAAGACAAAGAGAAATCCAGAATGACATAGAATGTTTTGCAACGAGTAATTGAGACCAGAGAGAATTTCTGCATATACATCAAAAATGTGAAGGCAATGCTTACATGTCTTTGGGATGAAGACTTTGAATGTTCAAGAATTTATAAATATCATATCAATATAATGCAAGTAATTGAGATGTTTGTATTCCTCAAAGGCACAGAAAAACAACAAAACAGGGGGGAGAGACAGGAGCTTTGTAATCTGAAAAACAGTGGCTAGAAGCTTTACACTTCTCACTTCCTTAGTCACAGCAAAAGAAAAAAACATTCACTAGTGGTCTTTTGTGTACCTTTGGAGAAGTTATAGCTTTTGTTTGTTTTAAGAAAATAATCCTTTTGATGATCTTTCTTGGGACAAACATACCCAGGTAAATACAATGAATAAATTACTGGTGGATTACATATTGTTGATAACAATGTGGTACTTTACAAATAAGCTCCAAATACAGCTACTTTAACTGTTCTTGTTCATATTTTACCCTGAAAATGTAGAGCTGAACTTTCTTCCCAAACGCACAGACATCTCCTCCTCCCAGTCCTCCCATTTCTTCTCAGGAGTCAGACAAAACCTAAAGCTTCTCACCTTTTGAGGTGAGTTACTAGACTTTTCCTGAAGGTACAGGTCAGCAAAACCAGGCTGTGATCCTATTTCTGTGTACAATTTAACAAACCAAATAACCCAATGACTCACTGAAAAAAAAAACCCCAAACAATCCTATTTCCTTCTGAGCAGTGCCAGAAACAGGACCCCTTACTACAATTAAATACTGGGCATGCTGCGTGGGTTGGAGGGAGGACAGAGTGCATGGTGCCCACCTTAACATTTCGGTTTTGTTTAATCCCTGATCTATTCCGTGTTAATAGCAGGGTAGGAATTCCACCCCCAGAATAATTAAGAGTTACGGTTCCGATCAGGCAGGTGAGGCAGCTGCCCAGCTGTACAGCTATTACAAATACTGCACACTTCTTAGCACAGCCAAAAAATATTTTTTAAAAGGCTTTCTAGCATTTCTTTCCCAGAAACTTTATACAGCATGTCAGTGTGGAATATAAAGTATATAATGATGGCTTTTGCTGGTGGGGGTTTTTTTTATGTTTTGGGAGAGTGTGTGGGGGGTGTTGTTTTTTTTTGTTTGGTTTTTTAAACTTGTAGCTGCTTAAAATACTCCATTCCCTTTCTTTTCCTTACACAAAATTTCAAAGGTTTGGGTTTTTTTGTTTTGTTTTGTTTTGTGTTTTTTTTCCAGAACAGGCTAGGTTATAGCTTCACATTAGAAGGATTACTCACACGTGCAGAGATAAACATAGTCATGACCGGGTTTTCTTTACTTCAAGACATGATAAATTGGGATTTTATTTGGTTATTACAAAACGTTTAAGGATGTATTGTATTTCATACCAAGGATTGCTGTTTACCGAGGACAGAATTAACACACATTCTGCTTAATTAGAAAACATGATTGACTAAGT